ATTTCCATCGCTAAGCAGCTGACGGAGCTATTCTTTGGTATATTCAATTTAATTTGCACAACTCAAGGACTGACGTAAAAACTTGAACCCACATTTCCAGTCTAGACACTGAAACCCGTTCAGCGGCTTGTTCAATCGGGTCTTGAAAACACTTCTTTTTTTCATTATTTCGATTGCGATGCATTTGATCCACTATGCTGGGTGGATGTTCGATGCATCTGTCGGTCTCTCGCACCTGGTCTGCGCTGGGAGTCGCACTTGCGATTATGTCCGGCAACTACCGATAATGATAGCAGAGTTTCAACTCGAATTCAACCACAAATAAAGTCCCTAGTATGAAGATCTATGAAGATATTTCAATCATTGACCTGGGAACCTTCATCAAACAATATACAAGCTGTGTAAGCACTCTCTCATCCGGCATTGGCCCGTCCTGGAAACTGTCCCGCTTTGAAACTTGTACTTCTCAGGTCCATGGAGAAAGTGGAAGTTGAGTTCTTGGTGCCGGAGTTGCGTTCCACCATCAAATGTGGGGAGGGGCGATTTATATACTTTCTTAACTCTAGTCCGCCGATATGGTTAGCACCCCTCACATAGTATCGGGAATAAAAAATGGCAGACGGAAAGTCAACCATCAGATCGATTCGGAAGGCTTGAGATTGGAAGGCTCGCCGCAGACCATTTTATTTTACGAAAGGGCAAGCACTCCAGGGATAAAAATTCAAGTCGAGACAAGATGAGCCCGGCTCATCGGCCGAGCGGAAATCATAAAGAGAATATCTCGGAATTTGCCGCCGCCCACCTCTTGTTCCAGTTTTTGGCATCTCGTGTCACACCGTTCTGTTTTGCTTCAGTTGACATGTTCAGTTTCCAAATGATGCTACATGTACTGCTCCATGGACATTATTTCGAAGATCACCATTTTTCCGGCCTTGGTCCCAAAGAAGATATGACCAGCCGAAGGCAGTAATTTGATGGGCGTTATTGGCCTCAGAGGTACAGGGATCCAACATAAGCGCCTCCGGCCCTTTGCGGCACACAGCCACCCGTCATTCATAATGAAAATGTCGGGTCCTTCAATGTAACTTGATCTTGCATGTCTCGCAGGTGACTGTCCACCAATTCTCTCAAGCAACAGACCGCTCTCCACATCCCACAGAGACATAATACCGTTGATCAATCCGCAAGTGAGCGCAATGTCGTCCCGCGTGAACACAATGGAGTCAACCCATTCTGAATTACCGAGGGTCCTGAGCCGAAGGCCGCTTTCAACATCCCAGACATCCACGGTTTTGTCAACAGACCCAGCGGCGAGTTTTTCTCCGCTGTGGGAAAATGCCAGGCTCAATATCTGTGGCGAATGCTTGAGTCTCCGGGGACGTTTGTTGTTTGCAGGTGCCCATATTTGAATTTCTGGTTTGTGGGATGCTGCAACGAGATAGGTGTTGTCTGCAGAAAAGACAAAGCATCTTTCAGGGAGAAACTTATGGCCAAGGTGTGTTCGAAGGTGTTCGCCGGTCGCTGAATCCCAGATCTGTATCAATGCCTGGAAGCTTTTGGGTTCGGATATAAACGCAAAATTGGTTCCATCGGCTGAGAATACGCCAAAACCATCGCTAGTGTCATGGCTTCCCAGCGTTTGGAGTTGTGGGCTCCTTGCCAGATCCCACACTCGAATCGTTTTGTCTTCGGATCCGGATACGATCCGTTTGCAATCGCCAGAGAAAGCGACCGACATCACCCACTCTGTGTGCTTTTCGAACGACAGAACATTCGCGCCGCTCGCAGTGTTCCACAAACGAACAGTGTGATCCATCGATCCCGAAACTAGTTTTCTGCCGTCAGATGAGAATGCGACAGACGTTACGCGCCCTGCATGTCCCTTCAAGCCCCGCAGGTTGAAACCAGTCGCGGTATCGCAGATCCAGATAGCTTGGTCGCTGCCTCCCACCGCGATCTTTGCATCATCCGGTGAGAATGCAACATCCAGCACCCATTCTGGATATGTTCTGAGGACTCGAACGGCGAAATTTTTAGAAATATCCCACAAGCGCACGGTCCGGTCAGCGGAACCAGAGGCCAGTAAGATGCCTGTGGAGGAAAAGGCCACTGATAACACAGGGCCTGAGTGCCCTCTGAAAGTTTGAAGATGTGTGCAAGCGACTAGATCCCATAATCGTATAGTGGTGTCCACGGATCCTGAAGCAATATACGGTTCGTCGGAACAGACAGCCACGGCCTCGACCGACTCCATGTGTCCTTGAAAGGTCCATAGATGACCTCCGGAGTCCCATAGTCGGACATGGGCATCGCGGGAACCTGAGACAATCAGAGCGCCATCCCGTGAAAATGCAACAGAGGTGACGGCTCCCGAATGTCCCTCGAAACTTTGAAGATGGACACCGCTTGAAGCATCCCATAATCAAACGTAGCCATCATGGGATGCTGATGCGATACGCATTCCATCCGGAGAGAAACAGACGGATTGAAAGGCGGCAGATTTCCCGTCAATCACGGTGGCACAGGTACTCCAGCTCTGTTCTGCGGCGTTATACGCTCGAATCTGTAGATCCATGCGCGGCCCGTATTTCCGGCGGATCAAGGCTCTATCCGGGGCGAATAGAAGCACAGAATCATACACCTGGAGTGCGGAAATGCTGATTATGGGGAAGAATTCTCGAATAAGACGTTCGCAGTCACGAATAAGGGTGAGAGTTGTCTTCTGAATACGGCCAGTTGCCTTAAAAAAGATTCAGCGATCAGAATTGATTCGAGAGCCCAAGAGATGAGGAGCCTACCAAAAGTTTGGGATACAGATCGCCGATCGAGAGGAGGGCTTCACGAAGCTCCCCCAAAAGACTGCAGACTTCAATCCAATTTAGAAGATGCTCTGCACAAAATTGGTCCAATGAACGCAGCACCATGTCTGTCAAGGCGCCTATCGAAATATGATATGCCCAATGTCGACTGGCATATTTGACGTGGTCTCCAATGTGGGTCGCGATTCTGTTAGGAAGATCCGTTATTTCCAGGTTTAACAGACAAGGTGCTCCGATGTTGCATATATCCGGAGTCAAACGATTCATGGTGCGGAGGCAGGCCAGAGCCAGCAGGGTATTCTGCTCCTCGACTCCCACAGAGAACCAAGGAAGGGATCCACGAGTTGGATCCGAGAGAAAGTCGAAAAACGAGGGGTGTAGAAGGCGGATATATTGGTTGTCGTCTTCTGGAACTATTATGACGGAATGCAGACGAATGAGGGACTCTCTGACTCGACCTGGGCCGATCGCCAGGAGATTTTCCAAGCCGCGTGGTGTTAAGGGATCTCGGATGTGTATGATGGATCCTAAAACTGTTCTAAGTGCGCGAAGGTGCCGAAACGCAATGTCTGGATATGCAAGTGTGAGGACTTGTGCGTATAATTTATCCAGTTGGTCAAAAGGCGATGACGGCCCAACGACTCTTGGGGTGGTTCTGAGAAGAACAGCCAATTGATTACGGGGATCGGAATAAAATGGGTCTTCAATGAACTTGGCGCCAGTGGAAGCGAAGATGAATAGGCCCGAGGAAAGTCGGGCCAGGGCGTCGATGGATTCCTTGGAGGGCCAATCCTCGGGTAAACCGTAAAGAGCTTTAGTTCTCGCGAGTCTCGATGTTAGATAGGTCCGAATATCCGCCTCCACGATGCGGAGTTCGACCTGATGGAGGACCAAAGACCAACTATTGAGACACATTGCGGGATGCGCAAAGGTCATTGTTATACGAGTCTCTGGCCTGCTTGTAACCAAGAATTTGAGGGGAGCCAGATCTGATACGAAGCGGGATAGTGCCGATAACACAGTGGATATCGTCGCCGAATCCTGGCATTCATCCAGGGCATCCAGCACGATGACGCAGCGCCTGAATGATCCGCGAACCGATGCAAGAGGCTTTACAATTAGTTCCTCTAGCTGGTAATGCGGACTGGCGTATGCAACATCCGGGTTTGCCTTGAGAATTGTTGAGACCTCACTCCCAAACACCGGATTGAAAACCCCGAGCTGGTGTGAAATGGTCGGGAATATGAGGCTCAGACTGCTGCACTCTACGTCATCCATTGAGCAGAAAAAGCTAGCACCAAGGACACTTGGACTTGCATCGTGGCACCGCTTACACGCAGTGTATGCAATCGTAGTTTTTCCGGTTCCGGCCGACCCGTTGATCCAAAATATCAGTGGGTCATCCAGGATCGGGTCCGTGGAGCTTTCTTGGTCTGCTGTGGACTCGAAACCAATCCACTTGAACAAGTCACGCAGTATGTCTGCTCTTGTGGAATCGCTACAGGCTTCGCGGTCCTGTGAATAGAAGGTTGCCTTTGGAGCGTGTGAAAGGTGCCCCTCTACGCGACGTCAATGACTGTAACTTGAAAGAACTGTGACCCACCCCTGGTTTCAATATTCGCTGCCAGTGTCTGAAAGAAGATAAGAACGAGATGAACCATCAAGTATGAATGTGAGGCAGAGTTTTACCTGAACTGCTGTATGGGTAGCCTGAACAGCATTTTGGGTCGCTTCTCAGATACTTTATTAGCTCATCTTAAGTTCCAAGCGGTCCAGACCACCAGAGGACTTGAGTAATGGAGAACTCAAGTGATTGCGACGAGGATTATGTCAAACGCAAAAACAAAATCCACTAAGGAGATTCGAACGAGTGACCATCCAACTGCGAAGATAAGAAGAAGGTAGGAGTAATTAACCACTACACCAGAAACACCATAGCTGATTTTCAATCTGATTGTCATTAGATCTCTTCCATGCCCTCTCTCCACCATGTTAAGTACTGTATATGTATTGACTCCCTTGTCATTCCAGTCATCTTTCATCATGCTTCTTATATAGAGCAATCTCTGAATCATCTATGGATAGTGGTTTGGCCACAGGACGTGAAGAGGCAAAATAAAGAAGGTGGAGAAGGTTTAGGCCCTTATGATGCTAATATTGTATCTGGATGTTCAACCTATATCCTTCCTGGTGTAGTGGTTAATACCCTCACCTGCTGCTGGGGAAAAGTGGGGAGGTCTAGTGTTCGAATCCCTTGGGTGGATTTGTTTTTGGTATTTGGACAGGACTTAAGTGGTATGGAACTTAAGTGTTGCGGGACTTAAGTGGTATGGAATTTAAGTTCCAGGGGGTGTGGTCCTCACATGTACAGGTCAACCGCATGCAGGACAGAACTTAAGTTCAGCGGGACTTGAGTCCTGCTGTGGTTCAGACTGTCATTAACTTAAGTTGAGCTCCTTCAATTTCATCCGTGGAAGCCTTGACGAACTCAGTCTGCTCCTACGACCAGATAAGGGCGCAGGAGTTTGTCACAGAAATCCAAAGGGACGCACATCGAACATAAATTCCAAGTGGAGGATGGTTTCAATCTTCGTCAAAGATCAGAGAAATATCTCAGAACAGAGGCACTTGGGAACTACCGTGAAGGTCTCGATGGCCCTCGATAAAGCTTGTATTTGACTTTTCACCCATTGTGCATCTTGGCTGTTGGTCAAAGTGCGCTTGAAGACATTGCGAGCGCCCTGCGATAGCACTCCGTCGTGAATTCGCATTAGACGCCTGAGAAAACGTTCAGCGAAGGATCTGGGTCAGAAATGAAAATGGAGAGCCGCACAATGTCAACCCGGAAATCCGCTCAGTAACGGCTGATGGAATAGCCCCAGCCTCCAGTACGTGAGAAAGGGTTCGATTCAGACCCTCAAGATGCATCGTGAGCTCTTCGACATCATCTACATTTTGAGAAGTCTTCTATCAGGAGACGTCAGGGGAAAGCCCATAAATAAAAAGTCCGCAAAGCAAAATGAACCTGAATTGCATCCAGTATTACAGACAGACTGCCGAGGCCGAATGAAAGTGCAGGTACTCCGAGATTACCTGCCACGTCCTTTGCGGCAAGGAGAACTGTCTGCAAGTAGGAGACAGCGGTATTTCGTTGATCTTTCATTTCAGGCGACTCCATGGATTTCTCCGTGAATTTGGACCTTATGCGCTGCATGCGAAATTGGAGGTTGGAGTTGGAGTTTGAGGGGGAATCAGAGAGTGAAGCTGAGAGATGATCTCACCCGGCATTTGAACGGTTCTCCTGGCTTCCCACACCCACGACATGGCCCAGTCAGAACTGTTTGATTTGTGTTCGATGGAAGACGACCAAGAGATCATCAGCAAGAGCTGGGTGCATTTGTAGCGAGGGTCCAGGTTTACGTAGCGCTGTGTAGCACCCAGCTTTTGCTGATGATAACACAAGACATGCCGTCGCGAAGTGCCGTATCTCTTCTCTCTCTTTATAAAATAACGGTTGTCTGTCTGAAGCCTTTAATGCCCTTCATATGGTCTTTCCGACCCAAATCTATGGATTGTCTCACACCCGAAAGAGAGAGACAAGCGCTCAGCGCCAAATTTTTTCACGGCGCTTGGGGCCTCAATCGGCGCTAATCTGTCTTTTGCCGCCTTAACTTCTCCGCATCACCCCATCGCGCCTACATGTGACGAACCGAGGGCGGGCGGGGATGAGGGGGACAAGCCCCTCCGCCATCAGATCGCCCATCGCCTCCCTTCGTGTCCACCCTCAGCAGTTGGACCCGCCGTTCGTCTAGTTGCCGCTCGTCCACGCGCTGTGGTACCCGCACCCGTATCTTCAGTACTCCTCCGCCCGTCTCACACGACACCTCTCCCCCCGGTTCCTCCGCACGCCGCCCGGGCGCCCTGCCCCGTACTTGCAGCGACATGAAAGGGAAAAAGAGAGGGTGGGGAGGATTGCAGTGGGGATCAGGGGCGAAAGACCCTCTTCCCGCGTGAACGTCAAGGCCGAGCCGTGTTCTCGTGAACGTCCCAATCCCACAGCACCACGCCCGTACATCACACACCGACACCCGTTGCGCTGCGCACAAATTTGAGCGCGGAGTTTCTCATCGCGATGTGTGTCGTTTCAGACTCATTTGAAGCAGTAAAGCGAATGCCATTGAAGCACTAGGCATGGCGCCATTGAAACGAGTATTAGTCAAGAAGTGAGGTTCTCAGCGGCGTCGGTAGAACGAAAAGCGAGATGGGGGATGAAAGGGAAGAAAATGATGTGTGACGAGGTGACCGGGCCGGCGCGTCGCAAGCGCTTGGCAAGTGCCTACGTAACAAGTGCCGTCGTCTCGTTTTCTAAATTCTTCCTCGGCGAACTCTGGCCCCTCGGCTCTTCTCGCCATTCCCTCGTACTCTTTTCACTTCCCGCCCCTCAGCAAGCATGTAAATGTAAAGCAGTTTCCATCGGTGACTCAGGCGTCGCTCGTGTGGGACACCCTGCAGACTCGCGTTCAAACCGTTCCTCGATGGGCGGAATTCACGATATAAATTTTCACAACTTGAAGGTGAGTTCATGCCCATTTCCACAAGCTTTGTACTTATTTATATCCTTCTGAGCTTTCGACTGTTTAAGTTCACATTGGCCACAGGGCCGACTCGTCGGTGGCAATGGAAGGCCTGGCTAGCCGCCTAGCCAGAGCCGACTAGCCACACGTACTGGGAGCTCTTGCCACTTTTATGGGTAGGTCCCCGACGGCGAGCTGTGGGGAGGTCTGGGTTTGGTCTGGGTAGCCGTTCGGCTAGACTGCCTGCGGCTAGCCGGCTAGCTGGGGGAGAGTGCCTAAAGTAACTTATCGCAGGTAACTTTAACTTTGATGGAATCGAAAGTTGTGACTCCGAGTTGGCTAGATAGAACGCCAGAATTCATGTTTGCCGAGTTTCCACCCTGCTTACAGAAAGAAGTTTTTTGGCATAAGGTCCCGGCGCGGAACGGCCAGCGCCCGTACTTACGATCTAACCATCTTTTCAACCGTTGGAACCCGGAACAAGTGACAGATATCAGTCTGAACGGGAGATTTACCTCACATCAACGGGCCGGGCCGCTGGGTGTGACCGCATAAATTGAGATGCATGTATTGCACTCATAGATTGCTACACCGTTCTCGCCCGAGATGTCTGACCCTTCCGATCCAGCGCCCACCGTTCTCGCCCTCGACTTGGTCCCTGTGTACGTCTCTTCAGTCTCAATGACACTGATGTTATTGTAATAACCACCTCACCAAAATCGGGCCCTATGTCTGCGCCTTCTGATCAATTCTGCTTCCTCTGACCATTTTGCAGTTTTTAGGGAATTCATTCAACTACCTTGTCATTGGAACTCTGACGGTGCAAACATGTATGTATCCTTGCGGTGTAAATTCCGGCCTAACGTCGCACTGCAGATACATACTGGCAAAATTTCGAGCACGATAGAAAAGCAACAAAATGGCTAGGTAAAATGACAACCATGGCTACCTTTGCTCTAAGCTCAGTCATTCTCAGTCGCAGTGCTATTTTGCCTGGAATTGGTTGAGACGGGATTCACAACACATGAGGCCTGGTATTTCTCGGTGGAGAACCTGGGGCAACTTGACCGCTCTGGCAGGCGCTCCCTGGACAGGGTACGTACATGTGATTACCGTTGGAGTGGGTCAGTCTCCAACAAATTTGGTCACTTGTCAAACCTTCACGCGCCCCAGTCTCGGATTAACCTAGATTTTGGATATGTTATACATATCAATGTACTCTAGCCAATTTGAACTTTTGATTGATGATTTTCGAAGTAACTGTAACACAACAAGGATAACCAATTTTGTACTGACCAAACATATGAAAAACATCAAGAACCAATATACAATGCACTCCATTTTTTTGACAGAACAGCATGTAAAATGTGTTCAAAATATGTTTTGCATACCCACCATCATGCAGAAGATATCCAAGTGATGAAGAAGCTATTTTGGATATCTTTCAAATATTGAACCAGGAACTATGCAAAACACATTGCAAATTGGTTCTCAATGTTTTTCACATGTTTAGCCAGTACAAAATTGGTTATCTTCCTTGTGTAATTCATTGCGCACTTTGTTGAAATGGTCATTCCCCTCCTCTAGAAAATGGAGCACTTAAAGTGTAGATTTGGGTACGACCACATGTAAAATCATCATGGTTGACTAGAGTACATCTATAGGTATAATATATCCAAGATTTAGGCTAATCTGAGCAGTACTCCAAATGTTGCAGGTGACTTGCTGAAGACAGGTTTTACAGTAGAAATTTCATTTTTGATGGCATAAAAAATACCGGTATTGCGTTGACTGTGCATTTTGAATGTGATTCTAACGCGCCTACTTCCAAGGCAATCCAATCGAAATTGAGGTCGGGGTGGATGACTTGCTGAAAATCCATGAAATGAGAGAAAGACAGGCCCCAACCCAAGTTCTGCAAAGAGCTGTAAGGACAGTGTTTTGGTTAGGGTTTGGTTTTAGAAGTTTTTCTTTGCAAACCTTTCTCGAACGTGATCCATTCACACTAGGAGTGACTGTCTTTCAGCAGTCCAGGCTAATCTTACCGCGACTCCAAAGTCGAGTCATCTGGGAATCGAGTCGATAAAAGTCGCTCGACTCGACTTAATTTATGAGTCGAGTCAAACCAGTTCGACTCAAGTCGACTTTGGGTTGACTTGATTCGGTGAAGTCGGTGGATTTTTCTTCCACATTGTCTTAGCATGCAGTAGAATGATCCTGAGTCTTCAGAGAGGGTTGTACTAGTCAAAATAATTGTTTTCTGTCCAGCATCACTGCATAATTCAACTTAGCGCCTTCTGATGCTAAAAGCACTCAAGTTCAAATATTTAGACCCAATGACCTCAATAAAACATAGCTATACTAAATGTAAGCCCGAGTCAATTTGAAGGAAAGTAAGTCATATGAGTATCACATCTCCTCCGCAAATTTCCAATTTGGTAAGTTTCGCGGTGTTGCAATTCTGAGAACATAGGCACCTGCATATTTCTAATGCAGTTTCAAGGATATGGAGAATATCGGAATTGACTCAGCATTGAATGAGTTACAGCTGTCTTGCTCGAAGTGACAAAAATCAAAAATTGTGCACCCCAAGTTCCGCAAATAGCAGGAATCAGCTATGCCTGCTAGATCCAATTGAAATGGACCATGTGCATGATAGAAATATTCCTGCTTGCTGAAATATGAGTACT